ATGTATCGTAGTGAAAGGGCGGAAAGCTTTCGAAGGAAAGGAGGTGCGAAATATTCCGTTATATATTCGAATGTTCGTAACGAAAAGCTGGCCTTTGCCTTTCTGCCCTTTTTCTTTTTGTCCACTAAACGATGCGTGATTAGTAAAGTCCCGACCTAAAATAATTTATCCAGACCCGAAAATTAATTTCATGGCCCCTTTAAGTCTCATCGCCACACCGCTGTCCGAAATATTTTTCTGGTGCGATTCACGCATTTCTACTGGGCACATTACCTACACAGTCCAGTAGTCAATCATACTGTTTAGTGCAGTATTTTAAAGCAAAAAAACCGTCGTAAAGAGAAAGAAGAAGTCAAAGCTACGTAGAATTACAAATATGAAAGAGCAACTTCAGTTTTCATGTTATCCGGTTGAGTTTCTCTTCCTGATAACCGACAGGGAAACTTATCCGACGCAAGAGGCTCGGCAAACGTATTCATTTACCGACCGTCAACGATTGTCTTGGTGTTCTGCAATCGAAGACCCCAGTGCATATACACGCCGCCGACCCACTGCGGCGCGGGCTTCTAGTGTGACCAAGCGAGCATGGCCGCCTCAGGGAGGGACTAAAGTTGGGAGGGAAGACGGCCGGTGGAGCACGCAATCGCGACACCTCGTAGACTAGAAATCCTTGGTGTTGAATTTTCTTGCGTCACTAAAAAAAAGCCAACGTAAAGCGCGCTGATTAAACAGCTGGATTAGACACGGTTCCTTTAGTGATGCAGGAAAGTTACTTACTAAGAAAACGTCAGCAGTGTGTAGAGCATGTTCCTATCACCAAGGCGCTTACTGTTTGCACCGTATACTCTTGATAGAAGCTTTTAATAATCACCCTCCGCATCGATTCCAGATCTCGGTAAGCAGTAATCTGTGGCCCGCGTTCGTGATTACCGTGCGTGACGACGCTCGTGTTTGAAATGGTCTAGTCAGCACAAACGCAACCTCTCTTCGCAGGCGGCTATGTCTGAAACTTTTTTTGGTAATTCGTGGATTTTAAAAGAACCGCGAAAATTTGCAAAGCCTATCTGTTTTAAGATATCCATGAACGCAATTTAGGATATTCTTGGTGTACTCTCAATCAGTAGTATTTTTTTTTATTTTATGTAGTACACATAATCCACTGTAATAATAGTGTTCATACCTAACCTTATTTTTTTAATAATGGTTTGCTTATTTTCGTAGAAACAAGGTCATACTATTATTTGCATTTTTACGACCTTGGAAGGAATGTGGGATTATTCTTTCGATGTTCAGCGCGTTGTCTTTACAACTTGTTTTCCAATGACGAAACGTTACAGATACAACTTATCAATAAAATGTGGCAACCGATTGATGTCTGAGATTTTTCAAGATTTGGTAAACCCAGCTGAAGTGCTTTTAAAACAGTATAATACCCTCATTAGCCTGAGTGATTGTATTTCGCTCATTTTCAGACGCGTGTCGAAAGCGAGTTTACCACATGAACTTAAAAATAAAAACTGCAGCGGGGGGTCAAAAATATTTTCACTTCAAATATAGAAATCACAGTGTTTACTATATTTGTATTGGCATATGCATAAAATGAAAAGATCACGCGTTGAGATTGTGACTTTGGAATATTGTTAGGAAGTAATACTCCCTGTTTGTGATGATATGCAATTATTGCAAAGGTACAACCGACCTGGACGAGAATGATTGGAGATTTATTTATTTATTTGCCTTGTGTCCAGAAACAGCCGAGGCCTTAGTACTTAGCCTTAGTTCTTAGTTTTTTCAGTGTCTGAGATGCCCTTCACCAACACCGTCTAAGAATAATCAAGGCCTCCGAAAGCCAGGTTCTTCCTCTATGGAACGTCATCACTGTCGGATAGCGCCAACTCAGCGATTGGACCCCAGTCCGATGCCGAACGTCGTTCGACGCGTTGATTGGACACGAGGCAGTGCCGAGCAGTAACGCAGCACTCGTATCCAATCGGCGTCTTCGCTCGATCTCACTGCGATGACGTCAAAATTTTACAGGCTTTGATTATTCTAGGTGGTGTTGCCCTCGACGCCCTGAAGCCTTTCCTAACTTTAGCAAAGGTCATTATTGTCAAATCAAATTGGCACAGCGAATACACTGGAGGAGCGTGATAGGGCACACTAGTCGTTCGGTGTCGGATAGTCACGAACTGTCGCTATTTTTAGTCTCGGTCTGGAAAGAGCGGTTTTACGAGTAAAATGGAAACAAAATAAGCACACCGCCCTTTCTCTTCGTCGGACGGCTTGTTTAAAGTAGAAAAACGCAAACGACTGCTTTCCTAAAACAAAATTAAGTTTTTGTTTTATGTTTTGTTTTTGACCAATAAATATGCGTGTTTCGAAATTATCACCATCAGTGTAATTATAGCCCTCATGTTGCGTGTCATTGCCGTGAAAAGTTTTTTTTTATTATTATTATTATTTACTTCACATCTGCCATCACTTTCGCCGTAGGATTTTGTGTTTCTATTTTATACCACAAGGTGACAGCGTCGTTTCTTTGTGTGTGTTTTTTTCTTGTCTTTGTTTCGTTTTTGAGGAATCGTTTGATTTTTGGTTACACACTGGATTGCCTGATACGGGACGGGAATGCTCTGCGGAGGCTGGACTAATACGCACGTTTCAAGGTAAATGCATTCACCTTTCTTGCCTTCATTTGATACGTTTATTTGCGATCGGCGGCATTTACTGACTAAACTTCCCTTCAGTCTCTGTAATCAGCAATTTTGTTGTTTGTTTGTTTAGACAGGGGGAAGTTAATCAGCTTCAATGAGCGCCCGGTGTCCCCGCTGTAGATGAGAAATCTAGCCAGTGCAGTAGTCCTGCCAGTCTGGGGTTTTTAACGTGCATCACGCCGTAGTGATACACGACCGCATGCAGGTAAAATGTCCATTCAAACCGAAACGGGCAGGGGTGGGGACGGGATGATTTCATGTGCGAGCGTAGCAGAGCGAGCTTCTATACTTCGTCTCACCTTGATATGGACTGAACAACGCGTATGCTAAAAGCGCGAGCTAGTTCCTTTGGCTGAAGGCTCGGCGGTTGCACAAGCGCTCGTGCAGCGAGTGCTCCAGTCAAGGCACTCAAGGCTTAACGCTCGCGCTTGCACAGCCTTTGCAGTTAGTCCATGCTAAGCTGAGACGAACCTTTTGCCAAGCACGGTGCAGTTCAAGCATCGTTTAGGGGAACATGCTCGTGCTTATAGCCTGACTTTGCTCGCACATACGCTGAAACTAGCTATAGAACACGTTTTCGTACCGTCCCGTTATGCCTGTAACCATTCGGTGAGTGCGTTGTTTGATTTACTTTGTCGCGGTTCGAGCTTCATAAGCAAGGACTTTCGGTTCAACGTGATTTCCACAGTCATAAAAATGTATGTAATCGTGTAACATATGTTACCCAGAAGAGACTTTGAATTTAATTTACGCTGAACAAGGTGCTGCTCTCACATGCCCTTACATGCCGTTCAGGGCCTAACTTGCCGTTGATGGCCGCGTTCTTGTATCGACTCGCCACTAAGTCGTTAATTTTGTTGTTCTTCCGACAAGCAAATACACGAGACAATTACCGAAGATACCGCGGTCATTACCGGTTATTTACTGCGTGGCCTGTTATACATCCGATTTCATTTTGTTCTCGCTATTTTTGTGACAAGGACAGCTATCTTTTTTTCTTCTTTTTTCTATGGCTTTACCGCTTTTCATAAAAAGCAAAAAATATATATATTGACTGCGCGAAAATGACAATGTCACGCTTCCACACCAAGGAAACGGCGACACGTTAAGGTTCCATGACATTGTCGTGTCCATTTGTTTTCTTAGCGCAAAACAAACGAAAGGTGCGTGTGGATTTGTCAGCACTTGATGGTTATATCGCAATCGTCATGTGTCGCACACGGCAGCAGCCGTGCTCTGCTCGCTTCACTTGGCTTCACGCTCGACAGCGTTGCGCACGTGAATTGTAGATGCGCTGCTAATTTTTTGAAAGCGTCACTTTTTTTTTTTCTATTATTACTAATTTTTTTGTCTCCTTGTTACATTTATTTGTGTTTTCTCGCTTTAAATAAATAAAGCGTGCGTCACTACGTAACTTTTTTTCTTTTTGCTTCATTTTCATGGGTGAAGATTCCCGAAAAAAAAGTGACAGAATAAACAGCTAGCATGCCTCTTTTAGTGTGGTCTCATGTGTAATTTTTTTTATTTGTCTCGTTGTTGTTTTATACTGCTTATATTGTTGCATTTTTTTTCTTAAGTGCGAGGAGTGGTCTATTTATCTTAGCTTATCTATTTCGATAACCGACACTTTTAAATTGTATTAGCCGGTTCGCCACCTTATCCAAAAATAAATTGCATATCTGAGAACAGAAAATGCTGCTTTCTTTCATAGGCGTAGACTACGGGAGGCATCGGGGCTCGTTCCCCCCTTGTAAGATCCGGGGGGAAAGGGGGCACCCCCCCCCCCCCCCCCGGGGGGGGGGCGGGCCATGACCCTTACCGAGACGCTATTTACGTGCGATGTAACGAGTTTCTAGTAGTGGCATGTAAACAAAATAATGGCCACGTTGCCTTTATTGACAAAATACATGAAAATTTAAATCCCAGCGTGCTTCCGGAGGGGGGTTCTTTTCCGCTTGCGCGGAAAGTCTACGCCGCTGGGCTCGATCATCAGGCCCGCAGCACGTCGTCTTCGTGGCTTAAATGTATGAATTGGGCAGGGCCCAAGATCTAAATCAGAAAGAAAATAGAAGGCCCAGTCACAACATCCTATGTGGTCAGCGCATGGGACTTGACAGCTGTCGATCATTCTTGCGCCATTTTCCTACGAAATGTATTTGCGAGACAAGCCCCCAGTGGCACCTGAATCGCTGCAACGTGCCCGTTTTGAAGGCTTATGAAGCTCGATATAAAAACAAACAAATTCAGATCCTGAGCGGGACAGCAAAGAATGTGTCCGGTTACCCCATGACCGTTGAAAAAGTTACGTACAAGAAAGTTACCATACAAGTAATATACGACAAAACCTCACGCTTTATGGTACGTTTACACTTGCGGATCCGCCAGCGGATCCGCCCAGCTTTTGCCGCTGGGGCGAAACGCTGGGCGGAAAACGCGGCGGCGAGCCGTTTAGGTCCGGGATCTATTTCTGCCGCCGAACGAGGCGTTTCGCTGTCCGGATGTGACATTCTTGCGCAGCGCGAAGCTGCCTACGTCATGAGTACGCGTTCTTCCGGGAGCAGCAACGCCCGGGAGAGAGAGAGCCGAGGCGGGAACTCTCGCGCCTTCTCGTCATATTTGACGAGACGTTACGGGAACCGCTGCCGCAGCCGGCGCTGCCGCCACTGCTCGAAGGAAATATATGTAAACACAACCAGCTCGTCGCCGCCGCCGCCGGGAGCGGATCCGCTCCCGCGGCAGCGGATTTCTTTTCAGGTGTAAACGTACCATTACATGAGCCCGCGGTTCCGCCAGGCATTTCCTTCCCTCTTTCAGTGCGCCTTGATAAATGCATCTTTACTACTTTATTCACAGACCGCAATGGAATCATTGACAGATGTGTATCGAGCGCTACCCATTTATAAAAAGCATTAATTCCCGGAAAATGCCCTTCATGAGTTTGTCAATTAACATCTTCTACATAAAACCTCCACCAAGCGGCCGGCGCACAAACTACGTTTGGTGGGTTCGGTGAAAAGACTGATGGATGCATACGGCTGAACCTTTTTGATTGGGCTGCAGCTTGCGCCACCCACTGAGGTCACCGACAAGGTGTGAACGGCAGGGAGGAGCTTCCGTTGTCTCGTCTCCGCCCCGAGCTTCTCATAAAACCTTCGACAACGCTTCAACAACTCATGCACCTGGAGCTGGCGCGCGCAGCCGAAGCACGGCGGCAGGCATGGAGCGCGTGCTGGGGAACGGGTGTTCGAAAGCCACGCTCCGCCGTTCTCATTCTGTCAGCGACTATGCGGCGAGACACCGAGGGAGAGGAGGAGACGAGAGAGTGCGGGGACGTCGGAACACCGAGCTCTGATTTGAATGTTTAGTGCGCAGACCCAAAGCCTCCTCTTTACTCACAAAGCCTGGACGTTAGACGACAGAGCCGTAGAGTTCCCAGTCGCAGATTTGGAGCGCGAAGATCTGGTAGCACAGAGCATCAAAGAGCCATTTTTCGGGGAACATGCCCGTCAGCGCACAGCTTCTACAGCGGCGAGGACCCGAAACACTCCTGTTCGCCCGGAAGAAGTGTGTTTCGGCGTCTCGCCGCAGCGGGGCGCCAGTCACGTGGCTCTCCTTTCATCCTTTGTCTGCGGCTCAAACTTTTCCAATTCGGCGGCCGCTTCTCGTGGCGATCTGCCAGGCTTTGTCAGTATATAGGTGGCTGTGGTCGACCTCATGGATGTAGGAATAAGAGGCAACATACCGGATCAAATCAGCAAAAAGAGAATATCCCAAGTGAAGCCCGAAGTAGGGGTCGCGATCGACAAGAACGGCCCCGAGGGTGCCCAGGTCCGTCCAATAGCGTTTAAGGGTGGCCAAGTCCGTCCAATAGCGTTTAAGGGTGGCCAAGTCCGTCCAATAGCGTTTGAGGGTGGCCAAGTCCGTCCAATAGCGTCTTTCGGTCGTTGAGGACGTGCACCTCCAAAACGGAAGTTTCCACCGGCTTCACCTCTGGTGCATGGCGTCAGGTCGCCTCGAGAAGCTTCCTACCTCCATGGTAGACCTAAAGCTGTTTTTGTCTCCACTGGTTTCGTCGAAGACGTTCTTAATACGAGAGCCAAATGCTGGAAGCCAGCGTTTCCTGTTCGAATTCTTCCGACCAGTGCAGTGGAGACAAAGGTTGCCTTTGTCTCCACTGCACTCGTTAAACACATTCGAATGTGAAAAAATACGCCGGACGCCGGGTGTCAGCGATCTAACGCGTTCGAAGAGTGCGGTGGAGACAAAGCTAGCTCTAGGTCTAGCCACTAATCATTCTAGTCAGAGAGGGACGTTCTGAAGTTTGCGAGAGCTCTCTTCTCTTTCTCCTCTTCAGTTTCTCGCCGCATACAAGAAACGTATCTAGGAAGCTGACCGTCACTGGCGAATTTAGATCAGCTCACCAAACCCAGAGTAAAAAGGTCAAGGAGAAACTGTTCACCAAACTGGCGACCATACGCAGAGACAAAGGCAGCTTTTGTCTGCACTGCACTCGCCGAACGTGTTAGAACGCGGAACGCCGGCGTCCGGCGTTTGGCTCTCGCTGTTCATGCGCGAAAAAGAATTTGAAATAAAATAATTACAAAATGTACAGCTCGCGGTTTAGGGTCTTATGCGGAGAGCAAGTTCGTCTGCTTTTTTTACGTGCGTTGTGGTGACGTTAGAACGTCGACCTCTGATTGGTTCTGAATGAAGGATAGTGGGTAGACCTCAAGGCAGTTTTCTTTGAGGTCTACCCACTATCCTTCAATGAGAACCAATCACAGCTCTGCGTCTTTCTGACGTCACCGCAACTCATGCAAAAGAAGCAGACGACTTACTCTCCCATTGAAACGCAGAGGATGCATTCCTTCCACCTTTTTTGTTCGTGTTTTCTTTCATAGCGATTTTCAGCAACTTGAGAGAGCGGAAGAACGCACAATTGAAACGAGACCTAAAAGTACTCGATTTCGTTCGCGAGGGGCGCTGCTCAAAACTTGACAGCTACAGGCCTATGATACTAAGTCTCGGCCCAATGGACCGACCTCACAGCTAGTTTTGTAACGCCACGGTTGCCGCCATGCATAGCGGAAGCTGTAGTCTTTCTGCAATCGCAACGACCTCTGCTGGGGGTCTGCGCTAACAGAGCACGAGGCGGCACGAGCTGTCTCGTTAACTGGCGCCTGCCTGGTGGCGGCGTCACGCATGCGTGGAACACTTAGTGAGATCGCTCTTTTGTGTCCAGGTTGCACAAAGCTCCCCTAATATTCTCCAGTATCTTGCGAGACGAGTTGTTTTGTTGTTGTTTTCCGAGAAGAACAGCGTTCCGCGTAATAACGTTGCACTCATATATGGGGTGTCTGAAGTTGGCAGGCTCGATATAAAATGGACCGTAAAAATCGACGCATGCACGAAGCAATCTAAACTTGTGATCGGAGGTGTATTTCACAGGTCCGTTTTTTTTGTTTTTTTTTTTTTTTTTCTTTTTCTTCTTGTAAAATTGCAAAGCGTAGCTCCCTTTCAGCAAAAAGATAGGGCTAAAAAACTTGCCAGGGTCAACGGCAAACGACGACGCAGACGACCGAGTCGAATGGCGGGTCGCATTTGGCACACGTGTTGATAGATTGCGTCGGGAGCAGCGACAGAAGGTGTAGCCGACCAGCGAAAGAAAGCAGGCGACACGCAGACGAAATCGGTAGGCATCAAGAACGCCGTCGTTATGCAAGCGCGTTTTTTCTTCTTTTTTTAACTTCAAGTTTTGCTCTTATTGTTTGCATTTATTCTTAAACCAAAGGTACACTACAAAAATATTATGTTCATTTTAGTACATGGCGTTCGTCGCGAGCAGTCTCCATAAGGAGGTAGCGCCATCTATCAATACATGCGCCAAACGCTCCCCACCACTCGAATCCGCGTCGCCGTCCACCGTTGACGCTGACAAGTATTTTGGCCCTATTTCATACAAGACCCCTAAAACTCGTCAAACGCAAAGTTGAAGCTGAAAGTTCGCAGAGCGCGCCGATTGGACGTCGGTGAAAAAAAGCACGAAGTCATCGTCGTGATAGGCCAATCTCGGCGCTTCATCAACTTCGGCCCCGCTTTGTGTTTGGCGAGTTGAGAGGCCCTGAAGAGGAGCTACGCTTTGTAATTTTACAAGAAAAAATTCGACCTGTGAAATATACCTTTGACGTAGCATTGAGATCACTAAGTGCAGGCGCCGATTTTTGCGATCCATTTTAGTCCGAGCCTGGTGATTTCAGTCACGATATATATATATATATATATATATATATATATATATATATATATATATTCTTTTTTTTATAATAGCACTTTAAACGCGGATGAAGCAGGAGAGGTATAGCACCTCCTCACGGAGCTTCCGTCACTTCCTGTTTCGCCCACAGACCATAATGCGAGCTTTCCCCGCTGTTAGAGGTTAGAGCGCGTTGACATGCCCAAAACATTTTTTTTTTTTTTTGTAAAACCCCTTTTATAAAAACAAAAGACAGGAAGAACATTAAAAATGTTCATTTACAACAACGACCTTGCTTCATTGCCGCTAGATCATAAAACTCGCATAGCGCAAGCGCAGTGATCCAGCGGCCGTCGCCCCGTAAACTACGTCGTCCCTTTCTTTTCCTTCGACTGCAAAAAAAAAAAAAAAAAAAATCGGTCTAGACTTTTACATCAGAGAGCTATATCATCAAAAATATCAGCATCGCGTTACTAATATTTCATGACCCTTTCAGTTCGAAAAACGTCGTTTGCCTTATCTCGTTCCTCTGGGCTGTATAAATAAGGAGCAGTCTGTTTGCGCGAAATGGCTGCAGAAATAATTAAACGGTAAGGCGAGAAAAAGCGTGTTTCTGGGCCTATACACTTATCACGATCGTTACGCATCGCGCGCTGCAACCTTGTTTGAAAGTCGTCGTGCTCTGCTGCACTACGAGGGCAGCTCCCTGAAAGCACACCTTTTTTTTTTTTTACTCTAAATATGTTTTTGAGATTATTTTATCTTGATTGTTAAAGATTTATTCTAGAATAAGAAAAAAAATCAAAAAGAGTAACAACACGTGCTAGAGTGATAAGGTGGATCAAAACGAATTGTAAACAATTGAGCTGATGGGTTACCTATGTCTTGACAGCGACTGACCAGTGCGTTAAAGAATAACCTTTTTTTTTAGATAAAAAACGACACGAAGTGACGAGGACTGGAAGCGCGATTGCCGTGGTGAGGGGGAGTTGAGCTACTTTATCTACCTCTTCCACACCAAATGTGTATAGCATGATAATGGCCGTTTTTCAAGAAGAATTCGCAGCGCTTTAGAGTTCGGCTCATGCGCACTGCGCAGGCCCTCCTGACGCAGCGGCGAAAGTTCGAACTACAGTTGGAGTCTGGAAGGGGAGCAGCGCTATCTCTCCTGCCTCGGAGATGTGGTAAAATTACCCTTCCGGGTGCCAACTGTAGTTCGAGCTTTCGTCGCTGCGTGAGGGGTGCCTAAATACGCGGGCAGCATTCAGAAGCTTTAGCTAGGTGGCGCAAGCCGCAACCCGATTTAAAGGGTTCAGCCGTACCAATCCATTTATTCATCTATCCGCTCTTCGTGGAAAATGTCTATTGTAATGTATACATATTTGGGCCCCTTTAGTATCAGTTACAGCAAGAGGTTATCTTTGCTGAGTACGGTCATGTTGAGGGACCGAGATTTAATAACTTCAGAAAGATGAGGCAGCATTTCAGGTTATGTTAAGCCGTGTAGGTCATTAGACCAGCACGTGCACGTAACGAAAAGCGATGCGCTCCTTTGAGCTTCAAAGTATATGGCAATTGTACTACATCCACGGCAGTCACATGCCTGGTTACCATAGCGACACAGGGGACACCATATCTGGTGTCCCCTGCGTGGACACTGTATTTGATGCGTTTTATTGACCTGATCACATGATGATGTCATCAGGTCAATGGCTATCGCTGGACCGCGAGGAGGTGCCGGCATCCGGCAGATGACTCCTGTGCAGCGGGATTTGGCCCAGCTTTCCTCTACGAACATTTGAGCCCTCCATGTATCAACTGCAGGGGTATTGAAATAACTTGGCATATTGCTGCTATATTGGACTAATGAAGAATTTTAACGGATAGCTTTCTCGTAGAACAAAACTGGTAAAGGAATTTCGCGCTGCCCCCTTGAAGTATGTCTTGAAGCGTGCGCTGGGAATGGTATCTTGAAAACTATAGGCTAAACCATCATTATGCTCGGTGCGATTGAGCTCTTTTCGAGCAAAAAAGTATGACGAACAGATCCTTGGCATTTTTTCCGTCGTACCCGTCGTACCAACCCCGTTTTTTTTTTTGTTTTTTTTCTTCGTTGTTTAAAAGGGAGTTTGTATGTATTGCAGACTTCCCCTACAAATTTTAGCGACAAAAATTAGTCTAACTTACTGTTCTTTTTTTTTTTTTAGATTTTCATGGAGATTACCGTGACTCCAGCAACGTCTGACTTCGAGGGTCTCGAGGCGAATATCCACCGAAGCCGTCGTCGCTCTTCAAGCTCGGGTAGCTCTTCGCCCGCCCATATCAGAAGCAACCTCAGCGACAACAGCTATGTCGGCATCCAGTCCGGAGCCCTCCTGGACTTTCAGAGCCCGATGGAAGTGTCCACGTCCGTGGTGCTCTCCTTCTGCCGTAAACACGTTCTGCGGCACTACTTCCGCCTTCTCATGCTGGTCGGCTGGAAGCCGCTCTTGGACACTGACAGGGGCGACCCGTGTTTCGTCGCCTTGTCCGCGGCCAATGTCGCGTACAGTACTGCTGTGTTCGCGGTCCTTGTAATGGGACACCTACTGCAGTACGCTGCGTGCTTTCGCAGAGACGGTGTACTCTCTTTCCGGGTGAAGATGAGTACCCTTCTGACCACAAGCTGGATTCAAGAAAGCGACAAGGTTAGTTATTCGTGCGTTGTCATCTCTGAGCAAGGCAGTAAACGACTGCTTCGTTCGTGTGTCGTTTTCTCTGCCGCCTTGTGCAGCCCAGAGGCAGTCACAGACGTTTGGCAAGCAGCCACGCTTCGAAATTAAGCGTCTGGCCACTGTAGGTGGAAGACGATTTGTTTAGGCGTCAGTCTGGCAACTCTGAGTATGCCTTAGCAAGCTTTTTTGTTTGTTTGTTTGTTTGTTTTTAGGCTAGGTGACGCAAGCTACCGCCTGTTACAAAGGGTTATCAAAAAAATGGTCGGAGTTCAGTCGAGCTGGTGTACGTTGAACATGATAGTAAACCTGAGACGGGTAGAAAAGCAAAAAACGCAAAGGAACGCAAAAAAAAAAAACAGGCAAAGTCTTGATATATGCAACCGTTATTATCCGTCCAGCCAGTCGTGTGCCTTAATTAGCAAGGCGTGCTCACAACGGCAAGTAGCCGACGTCGAGAGGCCTCACTTGCAAACGTCTAGACCGGCAGAGTTAAAAAAAAAAAGGGTGATCTCAGCCCTTTTTTGTTTACATGATACATTCCGAACCATGGCCGTATCTCGATAATGTAACACTTCATCGATTTACCCACGAAACTATCGCGCCGTTTTCAGAACAAATTGAGCTGAAATATAGGAGCGTATACAATGGTTCGTAGCAGTAAAGTTGTCTCATATTTTATTTTTGGCGCGTCCTATACCCCTTTTAGCGAAAACAGAGTGTACTGACTGCTATCAATATTTTTATATAGCGAATTTTCTTGAACCCGCGATCACACTGATACTACTCATACGAAAGACATTCTGCAGACAGTGTCTGCTTGTCGTCGTGGTCACACAAAAAACTCTCAGTAGGCATGTTAAAAGCACACACGGATACATGAAGCAGACATGCCCTGGGACGTGTTTGAGGCTTTTCCGCAGATAGTTCTGCCAATCACGTCTGCAGCGAGTGCCGTGTCTTTTGTATGTTGTATGAGCCGGGTGACTGTGGCTGTACAGGCCTGATATTTCTCATCCTGTGTTCGGTTTATTTCATTTGCCCTTTCGTTGTGTACCGTGTCTTACACTTCTTTGTCTAACAATTGAAGCATAATGCAACAGGTCAACTATCTTTGTACCGTGGTCATTACAGACATGTGGAGGGAGCGTCTTCGCGGTATACCTTCTTCCGGCGACCCTTCAGGTCAGCTCCTATATCGTCGCCCTGGTCCACATGCGCTCGCACGACGACGAGCAGTTCCAGGCCCTCATGGAGAAGGTGTTCCTCCAGATGACCATGACCGACGTGTGGCACATCTCCAAGCAGCGCATCACACAGCGCCTCCGGGGCGTCTACGTGGCGGGCATCGTCTGGATCTTCGCCTCCATCGCTTCGCAGATCCTCAACATCCACGTGAACGGCGCCGACAACTTCGAGTGGCTCTTCGTGCCCGAAGACGATGTCCGCCTTCACCACGTCCTACTCGGGCTGCTCTTTCTCACGGTCCTGTTTCACGACATCGTGAGTATGACCATCGCCACGACCTACGCCATCCACTGCCAGCTCGTGCTGGTGTATCTGCAGCACATGTGCCAGGCGGTCCGCGAGAAGCGGATGTCCTTCCGCGAGCTCTACAGGGGAGTCGAAGAAGCCCGAAAGAGCGTCAAGTACCTCAACCAGAAGCAAGCGCTCGGCGTTACCATTCAGATGATGTGGCTTTGCTCCAGGTCGGCCGTCTGTGTATACGCTCTTTTGGACACCCCGTGGAGTCAGATGACTCGCTTCTTTTCCGCTTGGTTGAACGTGCTCCTGTGGCTTTCGCTCGTGCTCATACCGCTATTTCAGGCTTGTCGGCTCAGCTCGACCTGTAACCACGTAAGAGAACTGGGGCTAGAGCTCATGGCCCGACCCTTTGGGTATGGCGACGCCCTTGAAGCCGACCTGAACACGATGCTCCTCTTTACGTCGTCACTCAGGATGCAGGCGAAGCTCTGCGCCCTTCCAGTAACAAAACGATCGGTCGTGTTCGTGTTCCTTTTGTTAGGCCTCTCCTTGTTCATAGCTGTCCAGCTTAACCTCGTCCGATTCAGTCCCTAATATATCTTCTCCGCCAAATTCTGAGAATTCCTACAAGCGGACGTAACGTTGATTTTATACGATCTTGATGCTTGTTATGTACCGCAATGTTCCGTCACAGCAGACGCTTCACCCCTCTGCGACCCTGCGTGTGTCATAAAATATATTTCACCGCTGGTTAGAACTTTGAGGATCTCAGGGGGTTCGTTTATTAATTATGGTGTTAGGCTCTTTATCAACACTTGTTCTCAAATTTTACTGTTCATTGTATAAATTTTTCCGGTTGACTACATGTGCACACAAGAGTGTTTGTTGCCATAGTTTGTTTTAGCGTTGTTATATGCACTTGTTACTATGCGGTGTGCGAATAAATTAAGGTTTTAAATACTGGTGAGTATCCCCCCCCCCCCCTTCCCAAAAAAAATCTGAAACGGGCTTACTTTTATTATAGGCAGAGTACACAAATTTTTATGCTATTATCTTCTATGATCTCTCAGAGATTGGCAGTGGCGTTGTCAAACTCGCTGTACTTGTGGTCGTACTAATCAGATCTCGAATTCCCTTTGCTTTTGCTATGTTATTTTGTTTCAGCATTGTTTGGTTTTGTTGTTTCAGTCAGTAAACTATCGTTGAACATTTGAACATTGAAAATTGTGAGATGTAGAAGGCCTGATAGATGTCTATAGATAAAAAAAAGATATATATTCATACAAACTAGGTTACTTTTTTTTATAAGTAGTGGTCCTAAGGAGGCCACAACCCGATTTGCTTACTTTCGTTAAATAATCTTTAGACCGAAGCTTCAACGTTTACAATCTACGAAGGCGTCGTCTCACCACGCACTAATAGTCGCTTAAAGAATTTAGGAGAAATGAGCAATGCTCACCCCGCCAACTTTGTCAAAGCAGGGGGTCACGTGATCCGTAGCCAATAGACCCTTTTCTGAAGTGTGCGCCATCCGGTTACTGTTGCGCCAATTATGCGTGGCAGACATATTTGTTTTTACGCGTACACGCAGTGTGTACAAGCATAGCCTTCTATATACTGAAAAAAACCTGGCAGATCGCCACGCGAAGCGGCCGCCGAAATGGAAAGGCCGGAGCGGCAGAACACAGATGAGAGCGATGAGAGAAAAGCAACGTGACTGGCTCCCCGCTGCGGCAAAACTCCGAAACACACTTCTCCCGAGCGAGCAAGTGTGTTTCTGGTCCTCGCCGCTGCAAACTCTGTGCGCTGACGTTCAGGTTCCCCGAAAAATGGCTCTTGTTGCTCTGTGCTACCAGATCTTCGCACTCCAAATCTGCGACCGGCAACTCTATGGCTCCGTCGTCGGAGCCATAGAGTTGCCGGGCTCTGTGAGTATAGTGGAGGTTGTGGTCGACTCGAGGGTTGCGGCAGCATTTGGCGGGAACTCGGCTCAGCTCGTATGGAAAGCGAGTGTGACGTCAACGTTCGGCAAGGACTCGGATCCAATCACACGCCTGGTTCCGAAGAAATGGCGACGGCCAATGTTGCTTGGGGGGCAACATTAGGAGCATTAGGAGTCCGATAGATTGCATCATTGTTTCGCGTTCTGGGGAATAGAATCTACAAACGCAGAAGCAAACAGATGTGATATGATAGACATAGGGGGGGGGTGGGGGTGGGGGGGGGGGGGGGGGTAGTCCTTGCCAATTTTGATGGAGGTGTGACCTCGTACATAAGGTGACCACCCGTCCGCGACTCGCGGGACTGTCCCGCAGTGAGGGCTCGTGTCTCGCGTCCCGCAAGAAATTCCCAAATCTTCAAAATGTCCCGCATTTCAAACTGTAGTAAAATTCACACTGCAACTCATGGCGCTGCCGAACAACGGGGTATGGGGAAGCGCGGACGTCGCCGGTAATCGTGTGAATCACAATGGTACACGATTTTCTATATAAGCATTGCGAGAAGCGACCGGTCGTTCTTGCAGAAGAGCGACGGTCGCTTCGCATGCTCCGTTATGCCTCTCCCCTTGGTGGCAATATATTCTAAGAAACATTGCACGCAAAAAGTTTCAATATAAAATATTCAAATTATGTTCAAATCATTGAGTCAATGCGAAAGGGTTGCTGTGAATTTTTGTTGTAGTGAAGACAGCCATACAAGGCAAAAAGCCTGCAACTCGGAACGGTCAAAAAAGTGCAATGTTAAAAATTTGTGTAGGACCATGGTGATAAAGGTAAGGGTTGACAAGAAAAAATAACCCGAAAAAGATTTACTCTTTCCTTTTTCCATTAGATGAGTTGAGTTGTGCTACAGTCGATTTTTACGTTTTCAACTTTGACAAATTTAATAACACATTTGCCATAAAAAATATATATCACTGGGAGTGAAAATTAAATGAGCTTAGTTGCTGCAATATAATCAGCAGGCGTATAAACAGCACAGGATATTAAATATGTTAACGGAGCCTCGGTCCCCGTGTGTGTGTTAATAAATCCCCCCCCCCCCCCCCCCCCCTCGCCTCGCGTGTCCCGCATTTCGCTAGAAGAAAGGTGGTCACCCTACTCGCGACATCTAAAGGCCCGTTCACACGATGCATTTTTCTCGCGCATCTAGTGTCGCGAAACATAGTTTCGCGAAATGGTTGCGCCGTCTGAACGAGTCCGAAAAGGACGCGCGCATCTAAAAAAAGTTGCGCGCACACCTCGCTTCTGGAGCGAGCTTTTGCTGAAACTTTGCCGAGTCCTGTCAATCACTCTGAGGGCGCCGCCAATGGCCGCTCAGAAACGCTCTCACGTGGCCTTTGAGGGGGGAGCGAGCTGTTTGAGAAGACCACTTCACTGCCGGTGTTGTAGCCGAGCCAAATCCGAAAAAAAACCGAAACCACGAACGATGGATACTGCCGGCGCTTCCGCAGGCACGTCAAGCACCACTGAAGGAAAAGTGAGTAGCATATCGGAAAAAAATCCAGCGATGAACGAAGACGTAATTGGTGATCATGATAATTCGCGGCTATTTTTAGTCATAATTAAGAAATAAAATCTTGAGACAAGGAAACAAAAAGGGACGTACACAGTACCGTCTCAAAACCAGCACAGCGTACAGCTCTCATTTACTTCCACAACAGTCTTCTTTGTCAACCTCCATCCAAATTATACATATTTAACAGTAAATAAAGTAAATGGCAGTAAATGACAATTCAACAACTAGTAAATGACAATTTCAGAGTAAATTAAGTAAATGGAAGTAAATGACAGCTGTATGCTGTTCCTTTTTGTTTCCTTGTCTTAAGGTTTTATTTCTTAATTATGATTGTTCACCAGCTGGCCTGCGTTTTGACTCTTAAGGCCTGTTCCCACATGCAGCGGAGCGCTACAAGCATAGCGCTTACCTCGCGCTAAGCGCGTGCCGACGGGAGCGTTCACCAGCTTTGTATCGCACCGTCAAAACTGTTGCTCATGGCAGACGATAAGTAGCTGACGGCACGTGAGGAGCGCTACATCAGCGCTTCGCTGCATGTGAGAACCGGCCTTTAGAATGTGGCGGGAGATGGATAACACGACGCTGAATGGCTAATGGTGATGATGTTGGCTTTCCACTGAAGCGCCACTTTATGGTCTTTGGCGAAGTTTCTGCAGAAACATCTCAGCACGTTTAGAGCTCCCCCAACCTTTCAGACTAAGAAATTCGGAACATCTCCTTCCCGTGCTGGACGGGTTACACGCCGGCACTGAAGCTGTAAGAGCGTTCTCGCACGATGTTGTAGATCTCTACTGTAGCCTAAACGTGAAGACCCCCCTGGCCTTCATTTCTGACGCCATCCACGAGACAGGTGTCATAGACTTTCAAAAGTCATGTGGCGTCTCGCTGTCCTCATTTCTCGAATTGACACAACTGTATCTCCAGTCAACGCTTGTTGAATATGAGGGTAAAGTGTAGTTACAAAAAGCCGGCGTTTGTATCGGGTCTTGCTTGGCTCCCGTCCTCAGCGAAATTTACCTGTTTTATGTTGACGCCAAAGTTCAGTCGAACCTTCAACGAGATTTTCCCGATGCGAAGGTTTTTCGTTATTTTGACGATTATCTCATCCTACACTCCACCATCTCCGACTCTGCAGCCGTAGAGAGCGTGTTCCAGAAGAACTCACATGGGCTCACATTCACCAAAGAGGCCCCCTCCCCTGAGGGCTTACAGTTCCTGGATCTCAGGTTGGTCCCAACTAGCAAAAATATCTGCTGGGCTCACCAGTAGAGGTCCTCTAAGCCCGTTCTTCCTTTCAACAGCTCACACTCGAGGAATGTAAAAAAAATGGGAGCGTTCGAAATCTAATTGCTTCAGCAAAGGTTAAATCCTGTCAACACCTTTCCGCCCCCAGCCTATCCAAGCAGATTAGTCGCCTCATAAAAGCAGGATACCCGAGAGACCTGATTGAGACAACAATCAAGACTTGTCGCGGGGCAGAAGTCCAAACCCTCCCCTCCTAAGTCACGCTTCGCATGCATCCCCTAGATACACACCACCTCACATCGCCCGAAATCTATTGCGCGCTCGGCTTCAACACCAACGTTGTATTTTCCTGCGAGTTCAAATTAGCTTTATTTGTAGAAAGGTCAACAACCCCGGTCCAGCGTCCCCTTGCCAGAGAAAGCACCAGACCAGTTATGTAACCTGCTGCAAAGAGTGCGTGTATCGATTCCCATGTCCTGCGGTGCTAAATACATCGGACAGACGGGCCGATGCCTAAACAATCGGGTGAGGGAACATGTAAACGAGATCAAGAAAGCAGCCTCCGACACTTAGGAGATTAGTTACCAACCGATTGCCAAACACACCTCTGAGTGCAGCGAACCCTGTTCGGCCGACCTTCCTCGACCACCAGGATTGGAGGTCACGCCTCAAGATACGGACGAGAGATCATGGAGGCCATCGCCATGCACCACAGTCACAACAACCTCGGGTGCCCGTCCATAGGCTTATCCAGGAGGGAGATAAACTTCCCGAGACCAGAGCTGACGTCCCTCGTTTCCGCGGCTCCAAGCGATTAGATGTCAACCCCACGAGATCGTCCTTCACTTCCCTGGCTCTACACCCTCTCCCATCGCTTTCCCACTTTCCAGTGTAGCATCTTTCACCCTCCCCTCCTTCACCTATATATGCAAACTTCGGGCCAATAAATGTTGTTGCTAGTTGGAAGTCTTCGTTGTCCGTCCCCCCTTTCTATGTATCTTCCTCATGTTTAATCGCTCCAAATCACCCAAGGGAATTGCCCAGAACTGCTAAACAAGCTGCTCACAGTCACATAAACCACTTCATTATGAGAAAGCCTGTAACGCAACTCTGTAATCAGTAAAACATAATCCACGGTCAGTGGCGTACCACCGTGTTTCTGAGTGGAGGGGCAAACCAGACCCCCCCCCCCCCCCTCCCCCCCCCCCCCCTTCCCCCCAGGGCCGGGGAGCGGTGCCTTTAGTTAAACCTTACCTTTAGTATCCCCTGAGCGCCGGCGGCCAGCGCCGGCGGCCAGTGGCGGCTGTTTCGGGTGTGGGCAAAACACATGCCTTGCCCCCCCCCCCCCCCACACACACACACACACACACTCTGAGAACTGGGGGGGGAGCACCCCCCCCCCCCCCCCCCCCGGTTGGTACGCCCATGTCCACAATTTTAAACTCTGCGATGCACGAGTTGCAATGAACTTGATGGAATGTCTGATGCCCACAAGCTCACAGACGTTGAGGATGACACCATCGAGTGTACTGTGCATCTTGAATTTGATATCTGGAATCCATAGTCCTAAGGATGACGAGTTTGGCATTAGTGGTCTGTTAATTAAAACATGAGTACTCGAAGAATGGTGCTCACCAATCTATGATGAGGCCGCTTGCACTTGTTGTAAAACCACTGACGGTGCGTTGGATTTCTTTCTAATACCAAATTCAGAACTATTGGTCAAGCTTCCAGCCCTCTCCTCTTTTTCTCCACCCCCTCTATTTTTTTTCTGTATTCTGATATTTAACTACGTACAATGCTCATCAAACTTGTAGGGAGCACGCGATTCCGCCGTGTACATTAAGGACCCTGGTGACAGCCGAAGAACTGCTCCACGAGGGAGCGCTGAGTAGAAGAGCACCTGCTGGCGTAGTGTGCCTTAACTTTCGATCGGGGTCACGTAATTTGTGGCCCCCGAGATTCTTGGCGCTCAAATTCGCGCGCCAGAGTCTCGGTGGCCATGACGACAGACGTCCGATTGACACCACATCCGAGAGGTGGCGGCAGCGGTCCCTTTGCCGAAGCCATTTAGTCTTTTTCGAGTAAAAGCGGCGCGCTTTTTTTTTCAGCGCTGTGTAGATAAAAATCATATTTTTGTAATTAAATTAATTAGATTTATTGAAAAAGAAACTTTTTTTTAGACAGAGAGATTTAACTTTAAATCATATATACTTTATATAAATCAAATAAATCCGATTAAAATCACACTGTCAAAGAAATAGTTCATTTTTTAATTAACTTTTTCAGACTTGGTAGGCTGATTGATACTTCAATCCACACAAGTACTGAGAGCAATGTAGAAGAAAAATGTACAGTCAAGTTAATTATGTATGTAAAAAACTTGCTATTATTGATGTAAATAACGCGTACTAATAAAAAGCTCTATATTCAGACCTTCCCCACTCTATGTGGAGAAGGTTTGATTTACACCTTCTAAGTCAAACAGGTCAGATTTAAATCACAATTTAAATCCTTTTGATCTTTATCCCCCCCCCCCCCTTTTTTTTCAGCTTATAGTTTTGTTATTATTGTAATTGCAAGCTTTGAGTAGCCACAAAAATCAACAAACAAGATGCTTTGACAGGTTACGTGATCAAAGCTTTGGCACGCCGAAGTGCTGCGTCTCTGTGCCTTCGCATGCTTGGATACCGATTACGAATCGACACCGTAGCATAGTTTTGAAGGTACATCTGTCGCGCGTAGATGTCTTTGCATCATATATTGGCCACGGACCGTTCTGAATCATCCAGCTGTTCCGGCAAGTTGCTATCAATAAAGGGGAGAAAATTTGTGGTTGATATGCGCTGCTAACCATTGCTATGTTCCAAATCTGCTCGAATGGATCATAAGCCAGCACAAATCGAGCAACGCTGTGGAGCAAGGTAGTTTTCGAACACAAAACCATGAAACGGCGAGATCTAAATTTTTTAGAGCGCAGCTCTTAGGGGTCCGTTTCCAGCCTGAGCGGCGTCGGCGTCGCCGTTGCCGTCGCCGTCGCCGTCGCCGTCGGCGTAACCGCGCGTTGCATGCAACAGGTTGCATGCAACCTGTTGCATTCTGTGCAACCTGTTGCATGCAGCTCAGAGAAGATGCAACAGGTTGCATGCAACCTGTTGCATCTCACAAAAAACGCCGCAACGTCGGCGTCGGCGTAACCAAGGTCACGCCAAGGTCACGTGACCCCCAAGATCACCACAAGGTCACGTGACCCCCAAGGTAACCCCAAGTTCAACCCAAGGCCACGGGATTTCCCGAGGTCACGTGACCCCTCCCCCAGGGTCACGTGACCCCCAAGGTCACGTGACACCCAAAGTCACGTGACTCCCCAAGTCACGTGACCCCCGATGACGTCATCAGTGACGTCACTGATGACGTCACCCGCATCGCCATCGTCATCATCACTGATGACGATGACGATGCGATGACGCCATCATCACTGATGACGTCACCGGCATCCGCATCGTCATCATCATCATCACTGATGACGTCACCGGCATCCGCATCGTCATCACTGATGACGTCATCACTGACGTCACTGATAACGTCATCGGTATCCGCATCGTCATCGTTACTGATGACGTCGTCGGCATCGTCATCGTCACGTGACCCCCAGGTGACGTGACCCCCCCCCCCAAGGTCACTTGACCCCCCCCCCCAGAACCCTTCCCTCCTCCTCCTCAAGAGCTGCGCTCTAATTCGGCGTACAGGAAGTTGTAAACGGCTTTCACTTTTTTTAAAGCGCGTCCTATATGGTGCCGCCGCCCCCATAACCCGCTCCCCCCCCCCCTTTCCGTCGCCACTGGATCAAGCTCGTTTCTGGACCGAGAGTGCCGCAAGTTTCAAATACGGTCGTCATATAAAGTAAAACGCTGCTCCAGAGGCACATACGCCTTCACGCACATTGCATTCGCGAAGCACATTACACACGACGGCGTCGAATCTTGATCGGTAAACAAGCGTGCGAAGGCACAGAGACGCAGCACATCGGCGTGCCAAGGAAACTTTGACCATGCCGCGAGACCGGCGAAACTTGCTTTCGATGAGTTGTGCCTTTTTCCTGCGGCGCTGCGCCGGTCGCACGTGTTCTCAAAGGCAATTTTCACCTTCTACAGAACGTTTTTAAAACATTTCTTTGGCGAGTGACGACGAACAAGTAGAAACCGTGTCTACAGCTCGCTGCCGCCAGCCTCTGCAGCGCTCCAGAAAGGCTATTTAGCTACGTGGAAGATGGCCGTCCGGCGTTGGTTGCGGCCAAGCTCCTTGCTTGCTGCTACTACACGGCTGCAGTATGGGGACTGGCTGCAGCGACTAAACGGGATGCGCGATCCAGCAAATTGAAGATCAGTGTCTATCTGAGACTATCTCGTTGATCACTGCCCGTCGCCCAACGGGCCCAACGTCGCCCACGTCGCCCACACAATGGTGTCGCCATCTTTGAACGAGATCCCGAATTTCGCGGTCTTCTATTCATTCTGCGGTTGAACGTTGAGCTAAAGTGGCATTCTGTTGATGTTTAGAGAATATCTCCACTCAATCTAAGGCTTTGAATTTATCCTTTCGTAGGCCTGGGGTGGTTTGCCGACCCCCTCTCAAGTTTTCGAGTCTGTTTAGCGAAACAATGACAAACGGCTGGCCACTATGACCGTCTTAAAAAAATCTTGTTGTGATCGAAATTCTATGTTGGCAACCTTGGCCCTCTCTTCTTGGGGGAGTGTTGTCTGTATCGTTGACGTCCGGGGTTGTTTTATCGAACCTAAGAAGAAACATTTATTTCTGAGACATTTGCTCCACCCCCTGTAATGTTCGCTCGCATAGTACTACGTCATTTCTCCGTCATTCCTTAGCGGTCTCGTGTCCGTCGGAGACTCCACAGGTACGTTGATAAAGGTCCGTAAGCCTAAGCTTTTCAAAGCGAAGATAGTTTACTTGAGGATTACCGCCTTTGGTAATTCATTTTAGACGACAGATCCTAGCGATGAATATTACGTTTTCCTTGTTCTCCGTGCGATGTTCGCGCTCATGGGCGGCTTAATGAAGCGAGCATATGATGTCCGTCTCGGTGAGTGTTTACTGTTTGCTTGGAACGCGAACCGTCGCTTTGAGATGCTGCCCTCCGCTGTAAGCCGACTCTGACGGTGACTTCGTCTGTGCGTAGTTTATCTCGAAGAGAACCTTTCTTTATTTTATCACTATTGCGCGGCTCCCGTTGCCGCATAATAAATGGGCCGCATCCACAGAAAAGCCCCTGCTTTTAGGTTTTCCTTGTGATCGCAGCATTTACAGCCAGCAGGTCCAGCTATTTAACCTTTTGGCGGTAATTGAATAACATCAGCGTTATTTCAAATAAATTGCCCTTCTCTAGTAACTATTGTAACATTCTGCATATCGCAGCATCATTTAGACATTTAAATAACTAGTCCTCCCATTATTTGTTATTTCGTCACTTGAAGAAGTTGATCAGAATTTAGTCAGGTTCCCAAGCTGTGGCTTTGACTTACCGAGAGCCTCTATGGTTCGATTTGTTTTGAAGCGTATGACGAGTTCAGTGGATGAGGTCCTTGCTAACACCTTTGGGAGTATAGAGCTGATAATTATGCAAGTCTTTACTGTTGAATAGGTATGTGTGCGACTTTTGAATGTCTATATATGTGTTAATGTTTGAGCACTGTAGCAACACAGTGTTGCTACAGTGCTCAAATTCATAAAGCATTAGACATTACTGAAAGAATGGACACAGGCAAACAAAACGACAGATGTGCCGTTTTCTTTGTGTTTGTGTTTATTCTTCCACTAATGTCTTCATTGCCTCTAATTTGCTCACCTGCAATTATGTTAGAAGCAATAATTTTCATTAATGGTTTATTGCACTAGAGGAGCACTTTAGGCGGTGTAGTACAACTGCTGACCTGGGGTCTTTGACCCCAGATTAACACTCTCACTGCATTGGCCTAATACCTCTGCGAGCCTCGAGTATATCCTTCTTTGTGCATTTGTGCTCCTCTGCATAAATTATGCAATCAGGTTGTGCTCTTCTGCACTGCAGCAGAGCATGACCGTGCCAAATGCTAGCTATGACCCCAGGAAGTAGCGTCTCTTGACTGGAGCACGAATGCTCCACTCCACGCGACATGTGAGTGTGTCCATTGTAGGTTCTCTGCATTTAAATCAACCTAGCGATATAACTGACTACTCAGTCGTGCAAACTCTTGTGCATAGTACACAAGTTTGGGAGTACCCACCTACAGACAGCCGAACATCATCTGAAACTCGCACTACTCAATCATATGGTGCTAACAGTATTAACATATTCCTCTTATGTAGACCATCAATTTTTATTTCTGCAAGCAAGAAGCAGGAATCTAGCGATGCAGCCATGTTTCACGCCTTGCGCCGGCTCCCAGTGGCCGGCCCCAAATGTGCCCTTTTCGTATGCAGCGCTTGAAATTCGCCTTATTAGCAGCTAGCCTTATGTGTACGCACTGATCTTTTCTACGTATGTGTACGCTGCATAAGACTAAAAGAGAAGCAGCTTGCCGTACATCTTGAAGTTGATCGCTTGGCTAGGACAGCTGCTTGTCGTACCGCAGCCAATGCGACATCCAATGATAAGTGTTTTTCGGGTACTCGTCCCCAGCCAGATTATAGGCGTCTCCGGTATTGGCGACGAAGGAAGAATAAAAGGTTTCAACCTGTAAATAGCATTAAAAAAGATGGAGGGAAGCCAAAACGGGAATGTGTGACGGTTAGACTAATATCCTAAATGTCTTCTATTGGCGTGGCGACAGCAAAACAATGTTTTCACGCATACTGGAAGTGACGACAATTCAAGATAGCGGCGCCCTTGGGAAAAGGGATTTCGGTTTCGGCTTCGGCGTAGATGCCTGAAACCCAACTTTGCAGTGTGATATTTAGAAAACTACACAGTACCGCACACTATCGAGGAAATAAAGTGTACTTAATAATTCGGGGATACTGACTGAGTTGAAAACAGGCGTAACCCCAAATTTGAAAATATTGACACGAGTTGTCCTCCAACTCTTACATCAAAATTGATTGATGGATTTCAAACCTTTATTTCAAAGCATTCAGTGCCGTTTTTAGACATGCAGCACCATGTAGTATGTTACAGAGGAACTCCACTTCGAGTTTAATTTTTTGGTTTTGTTTTTCTAAGAGGGGCGATTTTTCCGTGACTTTTAAAGTTCCAGGATTCGAAGTGATCGCATCAGGCATGGCATCTCGTCAAGTGTTGACGTTTCTCTAGAATGTTAACTGACTTGCGATTCAGGTGCATATGCAATCAATTTTGTCAATGAAAGTGCCTGCAGTGAGTCAGAAGATGACATTCGTTTATTGGGTTTTAGTTTCTATAGTGGCAGTGGGTCGAACCAGCCTGGACTGTTCCCAGGTGCTTGTCGGTATGTCTTGTTTTTCACGCCGAGCGCATTTATTGCCCCTGAGCTGTGGAAATACTGCGTGTGTTCTGAACGCATTATTTTTCATATGCAGGGTGTCAACATCATATAAATAGGATTTTATGCCATGAGCAGCAAAACGGGTGTTTTCTTTGAAAACGCGGCCCGTCCAGTATTTGGCACGAGACTACGGAATAGCACTAAATGCTTCAGTCGTCGGGGCTTTGGGGAGCGGTACAGCCATCAAAGGGGCCAACTTATGTTTTTGGAGAACAGGAAGCTTTTCATATGGTATTGTCAAACCTGCAGGATATGTTTCTAAAATAGTAAGATACAAAATGTATATTTTTATTTTTACTCCTAATTATTTGCAAGGTACATTGAATTAAAATTTAAAAAGAAATAATTTTCGTGTTAGTTACACAAAATATTACATTACCTTTTTTTTGTGCTATATAATATCTCTTGACATTTGCATTGTTGGAAAGAGAACATCTTTGACTACATTTTGATATGCTTTGGTACACCTATACTCGCTTTCTACTCAAGCACCATAGTTAAAAAAGTCCTGCTCCTTGTAGAGGAGCATTACTATTTCCTTTTACGTGGAGAATTTGGATATATGTAGGTGCATTTTAGATAAGATATATATTATCATATCGAGACGTGCACGGTCCAAACGTCAAGAAAATCGCTCCTTCGAACAATTAAAACTTGTAGGAATTACTTTGCGCAACGTATGAGCAATGTTCAAAGCTTGCTTTTTTCTAGAGGTGAAAACGAGTATAGTGGCGTAATATCTGACTTAACAATTTCTTTCTTACTGATGCCACCCCGTAACTGCCTTTTTGCCTGCGGCAAGGAAAGAGTTAAAAATGCCAGGCTAGCAGTTGTACTGCACTGGTTAAATTTCTGGTCTACAGTGGAGACCTCGGACATCTAACGCTCATTGGGGCGGATGGGCTTCATGCTGTTTTATATCCATACAACAAACAACTTATTACTTTGCTCTCTATCTTTTTTTTGTGTGTGTGTGTTTTTTTTTTTTTATCATGGTCCACCGTACACATTTTTTGTTTACATGAATGGCCATACTGCTCTTTATCTAATAGTTCTGGCATTGTAGAAAAAGCATATTAAAGGGGCAGTGCAACAATTTTCGGACTTCGGCAAATCAACTACGGGAATTAATTTGTGTCACCTAAAAAACAAAATAAAAAAGCCGTTTTATTGCGTGTGCAAGTTTTTATTCTTAAAAATTTTATACAAATCGGAAGGTCAAAGTGCCCTTGAACTCACGCCGTCTTTCGAGCGACGTTTCTGGGGAACCAGCTGGTTTACCATTGGGCGCGTTCAGTAGCGCCTCCCTTGCCTCCGAACGGAGTGATTCGAGTCGGAGTCATCGGAGCGCCTACTGAACGGCAAAAAAACCCGCTGCTCCAAACCTGCTTCTACGCAATTTCCGCTTCCTCCCCTGTGCCAGACGGTCTCCTAACTGGAAGCAGACGATGGCGAGCACGATCGCTTTTATTTGACGCCAGTATTGAAGTCTTTACAAGGTCGTTGCAGAAAAAACGGGTGATTGTACACATCAGCGCTGCTGTTCGAAGCGATGCAACGCGATCGAGCCCTTCGCTTGGCGGTGCAAAGGCAGCTACTGTTATAAAAGCCGACAAAAAACGTCGTCAGCACACGTAAAATATAAAGCTCGGCGAATCTACGCCGCCGGTTGCGATACTTTTATACGGCCATACGTTTGTTCTGCCCTTCGTAACGAACTCGTATGCACACGGGAAGTTCGGCCGCGCTCGGCGTTCAAGGTTTTGTCGGCCGAAGCGAGCCTCAGCCAACGTGCACCCCGATTTAGCTACGCAAACAAAACATTAATCGGTATCATGCTCTGCGTGAGTGTCCAACCGGCTTCCAAAGTCGCGGTGATACCCTGCCTTGCTCTGTTGAGCGCGGACAGGACTATCGTCAATATTACCGAGTTTCCGTGCAACGGCGATCAAGACACGGCGTCAAATGAACGTTTACGTTGTTTATTAGCATATTCAAACCAAGCAAAATACGGTCCAATGCATTTTCCGAAGGAGCCTTACCTCAAAAAGAAATTCGGACGCGTTATTCGTCTTACCTTGAGCACTTTTCATTAACAAAAGCGAGCAAACTGCACACCCGCGACAGAACCGAAGCAGCTTATCCCGCCATTTTGTTTGTTTTTGTTCTCTTTTAGCGCCGGAAATCGTCACCAGTCAGGAAATGACGTCATTTTAGCTCCTTTGACTCTACGTGCACCACTGTGACGTGCACCGTCTCCGGACTCGGTGCTTCGGAGCTTGACTCCGAAGCCCCGGAGTTACGTGCACCGGAAGTGACTTTTGGCCGTCCAGTGGAAGGAGTCAGTGACTCCTTGACTCCGGGGCCGCGACTGAACGCGCCCATTGGGTTTTGTCTTCTGTCCGCGATTGTCGACTTTTCAAGGATTAGCATTGCCGAAGGTTGCGGCGAACGATTGACACAAAGGATGGTTCGCAACGGGGCTGACGACGAGTGTTGCAGCCGATGGGGACTGGTTTTGTTGACTTCCGCATGTACTCCAGAAACGCGCCGCCATGGTTCCTGTAACTGTCACACGCAGCTGTAGATTGGCAATTAATTTGTTTTTCTCTTTGCGATTATGCAGCTAAATAGCAGTCTTAAAAAGGGTGGCCCGTTTTTTTGTTTGTTTTTTTCACTTGTGCCTAGATTTTTTATTAATACCACTGTGTGGTGGCAAATTTTAATGGGATGTATTGTATACTTGTATTTTTTTGCAGTCTACAATGGAAGCATGTCTTTGTTCCTGGTCGTTTTCGATGATCAGTGTCTTTTTTTTTTTTTTTTTAATTTTATTTCTTATGGTATGTAAAACTCTAATTTTATTTATATATCTTCAGAATGTTGCACAACTGCTTCGTTCCATTTACTACTAACAGATCGGTTAGGCAAATGGCGCATTTTTTGTCTGATGTATTTTTCACTGTGTTTTTGTACTGCACTGCTGAACTGTACGGGGGGGGGCAGAGGCCCTGTCAGGCACCAAGCCTTTATCTCTGCCCCCCACGCGGAGCTTCCCGCGAAACAAATAAAGAAAAAAAAAAAAACAGTTTACAAAATACAAACTGAAAATTCTTTCGACACTAAAATCGTTGCACTGCCCCTTTAAGAACGAAGCTGGGATGCAAAGTTCATGAGTCTTCCGTTATATTTTTACATGATAGTGTTAAGTAGCTCGTGTCGCAGAAAAGTCGGCATTGGTGGCGTCGTGACAGGAAAATCCTGATTGGTCGATAGGGCCATGACTTAGCAGCCACATGACCTCGCGCGAGAATTTCACATGAAACTTGATGTCGTGTATGGAATGAAAGTTGTTAAAAAACATGACATGTAATGTGAATTAAAGGTTGCCGTATTTCTCAAATGATTTCACTTTATAAAGTAATTCATCTGCCTTAAGGGCCGCTGAAAATAAAAAAAAAATGTTTTCCTGGTTGAAACAGGGAAACCAAAAAATAAATTTTCCTCAAAATGTTTTTTTTACACCATTATTGATGGTGCGGTTTTGTCGGTAGTCACCTCCTTTCCACTTGTTTTTTTCTCGGCTTTTCGGTCGTGTGTAGGAGAGGTGGATTGGCTTCTACATCACGTTGAGGTGGAGAGAGTGCATGACCATCACTTTGATGTTGAAAGAGTGTATGACTATTTCATGGCGTCATTTACTTTGCGCGAAATTTAAAATGAATCTTGCGCCATCAATATCGCTTTAAAGAAATTTTTGTTTGCGTAAGATTTAGTTCTTACCACGCGTGTCCAAACCAGGCTGTTTAAAAAAATGTTTTCCTTCTCAGGGGCCCTTTAAAGGAAAATTTAAAGAATTTTAGGCACGATTCGAACCCACATCCCTTCAGGTGCAAGCCATACACGGTACTGACCAGGCCATGTCCGCCACACTTCTTGCTAGGCAGGAAGAGCATGAGAAGGCAATGCAAATGAGGCCTGAGAACACTATTGTGCTCCACTCTTAAAGGCAAAGCTTAGGCTTCCTCCAAGTTCTTTTTTTATTTAGGTTGCTGGTTTTTATCACCAAGTTTGCTTAGCCATTAGCACCCGCTACAGAAGCTCCCGGCTCTACTTTGTTATGTGCTTCTAGCTGCTTCGAGGTGTGCTTCAAGAGCCTAGTTCCCGTTCCCACCACCGATAATGCCGTGAAATCGCCATTTGAGCTATTTTCTATGGATGCAATGTATGATCTATCTAATAGCATTTATTCTTCTCAAGTATCGGCACTGTAGCATGACTGGAGCATGAAGAGCAGCTGCCATGGCAGAGGGCGGCAGAGAGCCTCGGCCACCGTGCCTCCCACCCAAGACCGCGGCCTTCAACCTGGGCGCACTGGACTTGGGAGGCGGAAGCTCGTCCACGTCCACAATGTACTCCTTCACCCAAGACTCCTCCATGCTGAGTAAGTTGGACGATGAGTGAGTTGGACCTACTTTTAAACAGCTTCTCTCGAAAGCTTGTCTGCACGATGGCTGCTAGGCACAAGGGGGAACCTGGGGCTACAACAGTTTTTTAAAGGCAGACCAACAAGCCGAGAGGAGGAAACTCTTCCTCAATTCCTTCTTTCCATTTTGAAAAAGAGGAAGACTGTCCTTTCTGCGGGGAGTGGCTCGGAGACCCGCTCTTGTGGGTAGAGGAGGAGTGCGAGAGGAAATGGCGTTCGGTGGGAGGAGGGAGTCATGACTTATCGTACAGAGATCTCAACGTCTGCACCTTTTGCAAGTTTTTACCCGAGCAGTCAAAAACGCTGCATGCATTCCCTCACATGTGTGCGCAATGCACTTGAAACCTCTGCGTATTACGTCACATCCAGCAGTTGGTTTTTCCGTTCTTCTCATGTCTATTGATACGTTCAAATCAAATGCTTGTGATATCTAAATTCGCAGGACAAAAATTTGCTAGAATTTACCTCTAACTTCTTCCCTTTGTGAACCTCTTTAGCTTCCCTTTAAAGAAGCTCTAGCAGATCTTTTTGGAATACCTGATTGAAGTGGCAGCACAAACCTTGACACCATTGTTGCGCTACAAAAGCATGATTTGCTAATACTTTCCATTACTAGGTTCTATACTTCTACTACCATAGAAGTTTCAATGATTGCATGCAACTACAACACAGTTGACATTCTAGTGACTACTGTACGCTACCCAAGCGTCGCAAAAGTTGAGGCAGCCTTTGGGTGTACTTCTAAGGTACCGTGCGAGTCAAAAGAGTCAATGGCTGTTTGAAGGGACCAGATAAATTGTTTTTTTATTGTATCGCGCTAGGATTTACTGCAGAGGTGCCTGAAGGTAATGGAAGCTTTTACTAAACTTGTGGAAAGATTGGCTCACTCGAGTAAATCACGAAAAATCAAAAACTGTTTTCCCTATACTTTGCATGCACACTTAAAAAATATTTTGTGTCACTGTGGTGCTTATTTGGGTCAAATGAAGTGAAGAATATGTAATCCAATTGTATTTTCTTTCTATTTTACCAATTTTTTAGTCATTATAAATGCCAGGATAGACCAGAACGATTTTCTGATTATGAAAAAAAAAAGGCTGAGCCATAAATTTTCTGTAGACAAAACCAGATTTTTCTTTTGTTTTGTTTTGTTTTGGCTCCGGAGGTTTCATTTATTCATACTCTCAATTAATAGATGCACCACCTTCAAGCACCTCTGTAGCAAATCCCAGTGCGATAGGTTAAGAAACTGATTTATCTGATCCCCTCAAACTGCCATTGGTCCCTTTGACCCACCCAATAAAATCAAGTTCCGATCTACCCCCCAAACTGAATGAAAATCATGTCTGTTATTCTCAAAGTCCCTAGATGCTTTAGCTTCTCAGGTATGGAATGCAACGAATCATTCGAAGATCCAAAGGCAATTCGGTAGGAAGTGCACGCGAGTCTAGTGCACTGCTGCAGAGCACACGAGACTGATACCGGTGCTATTCCCTTGGAACCCTGCTCTTGTCTTCAAACACACTTTGGAGCGCGGCGAAGGACTGGTAGGGTCGCATCACTGCTGCTACGTGGCACGTGCACCGCATCACCACTGTCACATGACACATACACTGTTTTCTTGCTGTTGGCAGTATATATTGCCGTCGCCACACTGCTACCACGTGTCCCTTCCTTGGAAGAAGTGCAGAATTATGTCAGCCTTCAACCACAACAACAAAACAAAGGCAAAAATCAGTATAGACCTTAGAATTTAGACAGTGTGAGGTCGGGCTGCCGTAGCGTTCTGGTGCGGGTTCATGTTGCAGGTGACAAATCCAGCCGATCCAGTGTGACTGCTAGCTTAAGATTTTTAACATTTTATTTATTCACTTTTTATTTAAAATGCTGCTGGCCTTTTTAAGGCCCCGGCAGGTTACAGGCAGCAATAGTTTCTATAAAAGCATGATGCAACAATATGAAAACTTGGTACAAAACAAGAATATCTCGCATAATACATTGATACTTAACGACGGAGTACAGAATGCGTTATTATGGCATGTATGGAAAAATCCAATCCGTGTCAAGAGAAAGGAAAATACAGCAATGACATAATTTGCAATTGAAATATTGACAGCTTTCACCATATTCAGCAAAGGTACCATATGCAAAAGATGACTGGTTTTAAAATATCCCACTTGGCAAATCAATGACAGTGTGGTTAATTAACTTCACCGCAGAACTTAATCAAGCCTTCACGAACGATTGAGTTTTGGAAATTTTGGTTAATTCTTCTGGCAATAAATTTAACTCTTCAATGCTATAAACAAAGAAAGAATATTTGAACATCTCATTTTTGCTGATATACGGTCTGATCATCCTAGTGTGGTTAGCTCTATTAGTGACTACAATGCAGTCTTTCAATTTAATAACCAGACTTTGCGGTGACCATGATAGCTGCAGGGCCATGTTCGACAAATGTTTCGTTTTTCCTATAAAGAAACGGAAGTGACGATTGCGTCTGATTGGCTAGAGGCTCCAATGACGAAAGAGGGAACTTTCGTTGTTTGAGCCTCAAACCAGTCAGATGCGATATTGTCACTTCCATTTCCTTTTAGGGGAAACGAAACATTTATCAAACATAGCCCCTTGAGCGTGAAATCTTACGTCTAACACCGAGACTTTGCAATTCTGGTTGTTGAAGCAAATCAGTCGTGCTCTCTGCATGCCTATATATTGAAAAGACAAATCATGAGCCCCAATTTTGAATTTTATCGATGCCGTATGATAGATAGAGTTCGTAAGGGTCCCAAACAAGGCTCGCATATTGTAATGTAGACCGAATTAATGACGTACAGGTGGTTAACTTGCATTCTATTGTTGTGTTTTTTAACCGTCTCCTCAAAAAGCCCAATTTTCGGCGAGTGGTATTGAATATGTAATTAACATGTGCGTCCCAGAGATGCTGAACCAAAATTTGGAGCTCACAAAACAAGGCTGGAGCGATAGGCGGGACGTTGCAAAATCCAAAAACATCCCTCCTATAGTGATATCTCTAACAGATAGCCTCATTTTTGGAAAAGTGCGCGATTGAGCACGGCCGACGAGGCACCGGACGTTGTCATTCTCATTCCCTCTCCTCCTCACTGCTTCCCATCGAGCTGGTGAACCGTAGCGAGGAGGAAAGGAGCGAGACCCCTTCCCCTCATTCTCAACTGTTCGGAGAGAATCGTGACGTCAAGATATTTTCTTGGGCAGCAGCGTACACCTTTGTCTGCATCCCAGCCATACGGTGAGCGCCACGACATGAAATCAGCTGTCCAAGATGAACTTCGTTTTGCTTTAGAGCCTCTGACACACAGCACACACCCCTATGCCCCCGCCGCACACCCGCCAACGCCTTTGTGCTCATACCAGCAACTTCCACCTTCCTATGCTGCGCGACTGCGACAATCTCGAACGCCGTCAAGACGGTGTATGGAAGACCTATGATAACCGACCAACATGTTTTTATTGCCACGTTCCCGGCCACATCTTCTGCTCTTGTCGGCGCCGATTAAACGATACAAGCCCCCCATACATGCTCCCTTCTCGAGACCGCAACACCTTCGAAGACCGCCATCCTTTTTATGATTACCGGCACGTCAATAACTTGTCTTTTCGCCGCTTCTCGGGACTCTACACCGACAACACTAACATCGGAATTGTAGCTCACGACCGCTCAACCAGCCCCGTCGCGCAACCTTCACCCTGACAGGGTCGCTCACTATCTCCCTACCCTCGTCATTGCCGCTCTGTTTCCCCATTCAATGATACCATCCCTTCGGCGTCTCTTCAGTCAAACTAAAAACCGCAGCCTCCATCGACAATGGAGGTTATTCTGCATCTCAACAATATGCAAAACACCCTCCTTCTGCGGGCCCAACGAATTTGACGATATCAAAACTTTCTTGCTTTAGTGGACACTGGTGCAACAAAGTCGTGCATTCCCAAGAACGTCCGTCGACGCTTGCGAAAAGTGCTCACACCCCCATCTGGGGGCCACCTGCTCTGCATGGGCAATGGTGATTTGGTGCGCACTCTCGGGTACTGTACAGCGCACTTAAAGGGACACTGACAAGGTATTTATGCTCGCCGAGGTTTTTAGTTGTACGTGACATATAAAAGCCCAACTACCCAGAACAGAATTTGCGGCTCGAAATTCGGTTTCTTTCCACCCGAAAACCGCCGATCGAGAACTGGCTGGTTTAAGTCGCGCTCACTCTCTTTTCCGTGGTCACGGTCCGTTTTCTAAGGTTTGGACGCTACCACCAAAAATAATCAAAGTCTATGTCATTGAAGGCACACAGTCGATACTAAAAATAGAAAAAAAAGTATGAAACCCATTTTTTGTGGCTTCCAAAAAGCTGCAAATACTTTGATTTAGACAAACAAAAAAAAAAGGTTACATGGACAACCGGAAGCATTCTGTGCATTCACTGCATAATTCTCAACATGGAGTCATTTCGCATTTCGTGGGAATCGCAGGTGGCAGCGGACGACGGGCATCGGACCTCTATTTCAGAACTGCCGTTCGCGGTACCGGCGAATTCTGCCTTCCTTTGAAAGAGAAATTTTGGACCGATCAAAAGAATTGATATTCATCCCGTACGACACGCCCGACCAGCAAGGCGATTGCACGAAGACGTCGCCGAGCCGTCGTCCCTTCTCGTGGCTGAAGACAACTCGAAGTGCGTACTTCGAGTTGAATACGCACGCGTACGGTTTCTTTACGAGGTGCAAATGTGGCATATGTGTGGTGTTGCCCGACTTCAAGCCGGGAGTGCATGTATTGAAGAGAAATCGGCAGCAAACTTCCGACATACAGTCTACCCGCCGTATAACTACGCATGATTGAGTTCTTCAGTAGCTCAGTGGAAAGACATCCGCTTCACACGCAGAGGGCACGGGCTCAATCTCTGGTGTGGGTGTACCGTTTT